TTCAAGCAACTTAAAGAAGTCCAGACGCTTTTCTTTGCAAGCTCCTTTGACTACGATGACCTGGATGACTGAGAACCTTCACAGACGTTATGAGTTTGCGATCCCTGACTGAGCAGCACATCCCCAGTGTTATTGTTATCTGTAATCTTAAAATTCCTCATCTCTGTGTTCTGTAAAGCTTGTCATAAAGAGTGCATTTTTCTTTATATTGCCCAGAAGTAAAGTTAATTAAACAACACATGTGTTTTGTGTCTGTTTGAGTTCAAATAATCAATCTTAAAATGAACTCTCTGACTTACTGATTAGAAAATGAATTGTTTTGTTTTGGATGAAGATGTCTCTCTCTCTCTCTGGGTGGGGGTGAGTAAGGTGTACTGGGAGGCGATGGCCTGCTGTCAGTTATATGTAAGGCTGGACACCAAAGAAGGAGAGAAGGACTTGTATTCATTGGCTGGAAAAGATGTGCAGCTTGTTTGATTAAGGATACAAATGGAAATAACACGTGAAGAGAGGCTGCTTAGAAATACAAGGAGGGCTTCAAGGAGCTGATGGTAAATGGGCTGTATTTGTACAGCGCTTAGCTGATGAATGTAGAACATAAGACAGGAAGAAAGATGTGCATTAAGATACGACCTGCCTGGACAAATGACCAACAAACTTTTGTACGAGTGTTAAAAAGTGGTGGAAATGTTCTTGAGGGAGGTTGGTTCACGAATCTTGCATCCAATCATAAACTCAGTATCAGATCTAAAAGTTAAGGCAGTGCATGCAAGAAAATCAAATGCACATAACTTTTTATTTGTACTGACTAAAGTAGATGCAGTAATAGCCACAGCATCTGTGTGTTAGTCTCTGTGAGCGATGTATGGTGTGGATTGATCGGTGGTGTGAACAGGGTGGATCGTGGGGAGGGCGGCGTGTCAGAAACAATCAGCCTCGCCTCCTCTGTGTGACGGGGAAATAAGGAAAATCAGTAGAGATCAGGGTTGGAAGCTGTCAGTGAATGTGTCACCGCTTCATCTTCTGCTGATTCAGTCACAAAGAAACACACGAGAGAAATATTAGTGAAAAAGGATGCAGCTGCAGAAAGCAGAGAAACTTTAAACTTTTCACTTTAAATGTGAATATGTCATAATTTACCCACGATGTGTGTTATTGTAGGCTACACCGCTGGTAACAAAATAACAACAGTTTAAATGAATCTGCAAAACTACAGGAAATCATTGTCATTCATAACATGTGGAGTGGAGACCTCATGCTGTGTTGGAGCCAGTGTCATCAAAAACGTGAGGAGACATACCCGTGACTGCACTGCACCTCGTGCATCAGCTGACAGGCAAGGACAATGATTTGTGTACCTGAGTATCACTACAATGCACAAAACAACTGAGCAGCCCATCATGACACAACCAAATCCAGCTATGTGTTTTCTATATATTAAATAATATAGATGCCTCTGCAGCACGACTGATACGCTTACACAACACATTCAGAAACCTTCCCAAACTGAAGGACTGAGTGCAGATTGAAACTTATTAATTATTTCTGTCAGCGTTGCAAAACTGTTATTTCCACATCTCCAGTATCAAATGTGAAACGTGCACCCTGCCGTGTACTGTGCAGCATGAATGCGCTGCATAGCAAACAGAGAAGACACAGGCCACAGATTTCCTAAGACTTTATGTCAGAGGCGCCTTTTAAGCCTGAAGGCAGCAAATATTTAACACAGCGCGGTGACAAAAGCTGAATGACTGAATGGAGAAACAGGAGCCGAGCGTTCACCGACTGAAGCCCTCCCCAAACACAGACTTGACTTGGGTGAAAACTCACCGATACTGATGTTGGTCCAAGTTTATTTCTGTTTTTGACATCCATTAAATAACTCTTATTATTTCATTTTATTATTATTAGTTTGAAGAAGCACCACCTTGTCCATCTACAGTGATGTCTCCTGACTTTTTAAGCATTGTGTTAGCTCGCTGTCTCTGGGAACACTTTTAGATACATGCGGTTTATTTTGGGGTTCATCCATCCACACATCTACTGTCTCGTGTCTTGATTTTGCCTTTTCACAGAATCTTTACTCAGTTAGAAACTGGTTAAAGTGGAAAACTGTATATAAAGGATGCTCAGAAGTCCGTTACCTCTCCTCCTCCAGCACGGTCCCTCCCGAATGGTGTAGGAGATGTTGATGAACTCCAGGTCAACAGCTGAGCGTCGGGGTAGGTGGGTGAATCGCTGTGCCTCGGTGATCTGGTTCTCAACCTTCTTCAGGTGGGTCAGCATGGATACCTCCTGCTGCAGCTGAGGCTGAGCAGCAGGCTGGCTGTCACCATTACACGTGACCACCTCCTCCATAGGGAGGCTAACAGAGTCCAGTTCCAGTGCCTTATTATCCATATTAGATCACAGACTGTGGGTGGAGGAGCGAGGGGAGGAAAGAGAGATAAAAAGGAGAAGAGAGGTCATTCACGGTTCAACTGTCTGATTTTACAGGTGAGGTTTTGTGCTTGAGTTAAGTTATCTGTCAACGCTGAAACAGAACAGCAGCTCTGCTCAGAACAGAGACAGTTTCAGTTTCCCATCCACACTACTGTGAATTATCGATATAGATATAATTTTATTTCGAACATGCAAATATAATTGAAATAACAACAGAAAAAAACAAACAAAAAAAACAACCCAAAACTTAAAAATCATCAAGTTTTCATGTATCTTTGTCTACAGAATGCGTGTGCTCGAAAATGAGTAGGATGAAGTTGACACTTTTCTTGTTCCTACCCCCTTATTTCACATCTCATTGCTTACAAATCCATATCCAGGATTCAACATTATTTGATCATACATGGTTAACTATGTACAAGTCTAACACATTGAACACACACAAATAAAAACCATTTTCAGCACGTAAACCAAACAACAACAAACTACATGTTTACATAAACTAATCACGCTGTCTATAACAGCCGCTCAATCTCTGAGCTTGTTTTATATCTATGTGACAAACACCTTAATAAACACAATGAGAGGAAGATTTCCTATATTCATGCAATTTATTTTTTTTGAACAATCGTGTGAATTTTTGTATTGATGTCTTGATTTCATCTGTACAGGTGTTCCACACACTCCTCTGACTGTGATGCTCTGATATTTTACATTTGTCCTTACTACTGGCTTGCTGAACACAAGGATTCCTCTCAGGTCAGGAGTTTTTGGTCTTATTTGGAACAAGTTCTGAATGTTGTGGGGCAAAGATTTATTTGCTGCTTTGTACATTGTTTGCGCAGTTCTGAGGTCGACCAAATCTTTAAATTTGAGAATATTTAATTTGATAAAAAGTGGATTTGATGGTTCTCTTGAAGTAGCTTTATTTCTTATCCTTATTGCTCTTATGAGGCCAGCAACCAGCTGAAAATAGGCTGACCAATTCATGAAACGTTATTGGTGCTTAGGCAACAAGGCCTACCTGGATAGGTTCAGGTAAAAAAAGAAATCAGTGATGTTATGCCACAGAAATGTACCTGGTTAGCTTTACATCATGACTTATGTCATAATCCATAGTAAACCTGTATGTTAAAGGAGCAGCTGGGAGTGACGGCCACTAATGCCACTGCACCAACACAAGTCACAACACGGCACCAACACAGCATCTTCTGATGGTGTCATCACAAACATCTGAGGTTGTATAATGTTCGTTATTTATAATGAATGGGCTACATTTATTTAGGCATAGAGATATAATTATGACCGAGCCTGGAATATCATCTACAAGAGAATTAAAAAAATTGAATATGCATCAGAGAGCAGGGAGTCTTCCTCTTCCTCCTCATGTGTATTCA